TGTGTATAAGAGACAGCCTAATGATAAAACTCATAATTAAAATATCGCTTTCTTCTGGAGATATTTGAGCTCCATTATACAAAAGTTTTCTGTATTCTTTCTGAAATACATAAAAAGTGTAAACTTACATGTATTGTATAAGAAACAACCCAGATAGCACATAGAGTTAAAAAAGAAATCATTTGTATATATATTCACTTGTGCGTTATCAATTCTGAGCTCATTTTCAGGTGCAAAAAGATTTCTTTTTCAAAATTTTTGGAAAAAGAATTCTTTTTGCATCTGAAAATGAACCCAAAATTTGTGATATATAACTAAGTTGTTTTTTAACTTTCTGTGTTATCTGGGAAGAAATCTCACTTGTGAATTAAAAAGAAATTTTACTATTTTTAATATTTCTTTATATCCGAAAAAAATATTCTCACCTGAGTATTTCTGTCATGATGCCTTTGCTGAATCTCATAATTTTCTTCATTATAATACATGTTTTCGTAAGGTTTATTATTATTATATCTTATATTTTCATAGAAGGCAAATTCATTACGATAATCATCTATTTCTCTATTTCCCAATGTACTGTTATCACTTATGCTTGTATTATAAGAATTAAATGTGTTACTTAAAGATGAAGAACTGTAAACACAAATAAGATAAATAAAAGTAAAAAACAATCAGCAAAAAATAACCTAAAAATTTAATATCAAGTCAATATCAAAACAATGTAATATTGTTAATTTCGACGTCAAATAGACATTGATTCAACATCTAATTTTAGTTTATTTTTTATTGGAAGTTGTCAAAAATATATTTTAAAAATAATCTTAACTCTGCACACATGCCATTCTATCTCCATCATCCTTATTTAAAGATACAGAATTGCCATCTCCAGAGGACTGCAGGCTGTCTTGGAAGCTGGAGTGCACTGAATCTTGTTTATCAGATTTTACCTATCAGCATATTAGAATTAGAAAAAAATACAGCTTTTAGAGGAATTTGTTTAAAGTAAAAATTAATTTGGAAAAATATCTACACACCTACATTTCAATTGAGCTTGCACATACTGAAATATTATCATCCAAACTATCTGAGTTAACATTCTGACCTGTATAATTGTATCTGTTATTCTTCACATCATTCTTCACATAATCAATCGTTAGAATTAGAATCCTAAATGTAAAATTTAAAAAAAAAACATTGTTTACATATTAACGTATAAAAAAGCTTCTATTTATACATTGCTCCAATTAAAACTGGCAATAAATATTTTAATTACAAATATAATGTGTAATCATAAATAGTAACAATTAATTCTATATATACATATATATATGTATATATACAAATATATGTTTTAATATAATATTAATGTTTTCTACTCACATCATAATTATAAATATCTTTTTGTTGTTGTGTTTGTCTGAACCATACTGTTGATCTATAGGGATTGAGACAATATTAGGATTACGCAAATATTTTTTATATGGCCCTATTTTTTTTGGACAAGGCATTCTAAAAAGAAAGTACATAAAAATAATTGTTTTGTTAAATGCAGAAAATGTGTACAATTACCTAGCCTTTCAAATTGACCTTTTTAGGTTATCTACTTGCGAGACAATATATCAATTACTAGAATGAACTGCACAATATATAATTAGAGCATACACTTTT